CAGGAGGAGGAGGAGGAGGAGGAAGGCGAGAGGAGGGGGTCCCCGGAGGGAAACCGAGGCTGGGGGAAGCAGAGGGGCTTTAGGGATCAAAGGGAGTGGGAACTGCAAAGGGAAGGAGGGTTCAGGCAAGTGCCAGGAGCAGCTGGGAGAAAGGCTGGGGGTGCACAGATCAGTGCCATAAATTATAAATCTTGTGCCAAACACTTTGCTGAGACTGACAGATTCCACGCCTCATTAGCTTCTACTGTTAATTGCATTCTTCTGTCCAGGAGCTCTTCCTCAGAGGCAGCCTGCACGCCTCCTACCACCTCCTGCTCGCCACTGTGCCAACCCGCAGTGGGTGCCGGGGCTGTTTGCATTTTCTTCTCCGGTTATGAACCAGCACGAGTCACTTCATCAGCTCTGCCTGTACTCCGCACTAAATTAGCGTTCTGAAATGAAAAGGAAATTAAGAAAGAGGGGAGAAGATTGACTACCCGCGAGGTGGCACCACAAGAACATGGCTGGCAGCAGCGACAGGCTAGGAGGAGAGCTGAAACAGCAACATTTAATTAAATGTGATGTCTGTAATACGCTGAACCTTCATGTCCTGCTTCCCCAGGCACTGAGGGAAACTGAACCACAGTGGGGCTGGAGAAAGGCACACCAGCGACCAGTTAAAGAAGTCATCCACCAGTGACCCCCTTCCTGTGCCGCCACCATCGCCGCATCTGTTCTGTCCCCTTTGTTTTTCCTTGCCTTGCTCTTCTCTGCAGGTATTGTGACAGAATCTGCTTGGTGCGCATCAGTGGAATTTACGGCCGATTCCTAGCTCCAAAACACACCTGAACAGCTTTGCGATGAACGCTGAGAAAATGCTCCAAGTGTGTGAAGAGGCACTGAGATAACAAGGGAATCAACTCCCTTGGTGTGAATATTAGATGTGCCACAGAAGCACATCGCAGACAGACAAGGTGCCATAAAAATCACCACGTAGGGTTCTCGTGTGACGAAACCAGGTCAAACACATCTTTGTTAGTACCAGCTATCAGCCTGCTCCTGAGCACGTTCTGCTGTAGCTTTATTCTCTGCCAAGAATTGCCTCCTTTTCGACCCTGGTGTAAGAAAATTCCTTGTCGCACCAGATGACATGTTTTAAATCTGAAGGCGACTGCCCATTCGCAGCAGCTCTCTGCTTTGCTCACGCATACCCTGGGTAACAGGGGATACGATAACAGGCTTCACATCAAGACAATTTTTAAGTTGCTTTTTTTTTTAGGTTCCTCTTATCCAGAGTCACAACAACCTGAAACAGAGCTTGAGCACAGGAAGATGCTCACAGGACTATCACCAGTATCTTCTCGGATGTTTTTAATATTACTGTGCTCAACGCCCTACGGCAAGCGAGGATTTTACTCTGAAATGACACAACTGCTCTTTTATATCCATTTCCTGTCATAAATAGGTCCATAAGTAGCATTCCATAGAAACACAATTTCTTATGCAAACATACTAAAACCAGGAAAACAGCACGAGTATATGAACTGACTGCAATCATAACGAAACAGCAATTAGCCTCGAGCAGCATGAAAGGCCTACAGGCAATTCAGTGAAGTACAACGTGCAGGCAAGCCAGCAAACATCGCTCGTGACGCCAAGGACACACCTCAGTCAAAATTAGGTCAGGGCCTTCGATGCTTGGCGGGAAATCATCAATAGAGGACAACAATGAACATATTTTTAACCCAATACAACGGATAAAAACTCGTCAGAGACCACACGCACAGTTGTGGCCTCCTGAGCCCCCACACTGGATCACGCTCCCTCCCCTGAGGCTCCTGATCCCCAGGGCAGCAAACCACACCCCCGGAGAAGCACTAGGATCTCCCCGAACCACGACATGCTCCACTTCCCCTTCCCTCCAGTGAGTCGTCCTGGCTGCTGACGTGCCTCTGTAGCAAAACAACAACCACACCTCTCAACTGGCTCCGAGTTTCCCACACAAACAGTCGAAGGCACACAGAAGTCACTCCAGCACGCTGCTAGAAGACAGAGTGAGAAAACACGGAAGCAGGGATTCATCCCACCTGATTTTTAACTCAAATACTTCAGTTAGGAGTGTAGTTGCCCCTCTCCTGGTGTCTGTTCCAGTTTCCCAACACCTGCAAGCCAGTTTCATACTGAATTTGTCAAATCTAAGACATTTCCATTTTGGACGTGGGAACTGACAGACTAAATTTGAAACTTCTAAAGCATTGTAAAAATGGCAGGTCTGTCTCCTATTTTCCCACATCTTTTCTTCTTAATGGCGTTAACTTACTAATAAAGAGGTATGTGAAATGCAATAGAAAACTCTCCTATTTTTAAACATACACGAGCCTTGCAGTTCACCAGCCCACTTCCAGACGTTCTTGCACTTCAACTAGGAGTCCCACTTCTACAACTGAAAGATCTTCAGGCTCCTAAAATTTGGGGTCACCCAAAAGTCCATTAAACACCGCTGCATGCTGCGTCAGCAGAAACACACCAGGAACGCCCAGACACTTTTATGAAGTTTGCTTACAACAGACCTTCTACAGTTTCTCAGCAAAGCAGAACAAGCTCTTCTCACCTCATCTGCCCCACCAGGGATCATGACATGAGTTCATGAGACTAGAGTCTTCCTGAAGTCCTTGCCCTCCTAAATTGCTGTTGTTTCATTTCGTTCGGTTGAAGGGAGAGGCTGGTACATGGCAGCGCAGACCACTCGAGCGTTCGGTGCACTTGAGGCTGTAGCCTTGGTACTGTGTGTCTTCTACCGGTAATGCTGACCTAGTTCAGCTTTCCGGGATTAGTGACCCTTCCTTTGCTACCTTCCTTCCTTCCACATGATTCTTGCTGAGAAACAACCTCTTTTTTACCCCAAAAATAAAAAGGTAGAGTGAGGGATTTTGTTCAGGCATTTTTTTTTCAGATGAGCTGAATATTCCCAAAACCACCCAAGAGAAGGCAATTCCTGCGTGCATGAGGTTGTCCTGTGAACGCCAAGAAAAAGATGGTCCTACCAAGACACTAACCTTGCTTTTAACTTCCAGATCTCTCTCTTGGACTCTGTGAGACCCTATGTGATCCTAAGTCATGCTTCAGTTCACACCTGAAACCAACAGGGATGCTCCTAGGATAAAAGAGTTGATAATAATCAGACATTCAACACTCAGCGTTAACAATCTTAACCTCATTCTTTACTTTGTGCTGTAGGGTAACAGCTGTAGGGTAGTGAGTATTGCTAAACCAAGACAAGGCTTCCTACTCAGAGCACTCAAAATTGGTGATGCTTACACTCTAATGGAAGCACTGCATTCAGTACACCAATTTTAATATTAGATAATTCCTCTGAACCTGTCACTGTCCGGCAAAGCAGTGTTTAGAGACCAACGAAATGGCTTTCAACAAATAAAGTCCTAATTTAATAATAATGGTGGTGTCTGGCTATCACAGTGAACAAAGCTGCAGTCTGCTAGCGCCATGGGGTCTGCTTATGGATAGCAATTGCTCTGTGATGTTATCAGCTGTTGTAAAACATCCTGGCCATGAGGTTAATCATCAACTCAGCTCCCCATCTCATAAAAACATGGTATTGTAAGAGCACAAGACACTTAACTGTCGCTAATCAGTTATGCATGCACCAGGAACAAAGCAACACATAAAAGGAGACAGAAGCTCAGCAAATCCTTCAGCGAAGGGAAGACAAACTGCACTGAACATGGAGAAATCCACTGACAAGCTGAACGATGAAAACAGACCAACAGCTCCTGGAGTACCACAGGCTGGAAAGGACAGTCCTGCGCCCGCTGCGGAAGGTGTTGCAGAAATGGGGAGCACAGGAGCTCGAACAGAAAATGCTGCAGATATAAAGAAACTGGAATTCACTGAAGAATGTATTAAAGAACTGGAGAGCCCTTCAAGCAGAGAGGGAGACAGTCCTGACACCTTTAAACCAGCGATTTCGGAAAGAGACTGTCCAAACTCAAAGCCTCTTGTTATGCCAATGAACAAAAACTCTTCAGAAGTATGCAGCTCTGAAATGAACCTCCAGTGTTCAGCCACAACATCTATCGATATGGACTGCCTCGTCTGCTTCAACAAGTACAACATCTACAGAGTCCCAAAGCTCCTGGACTGCCAGCACGCCTTCTGCGCAGTCTGCCTCAAGCTTATCCTCAGGAAAGAAGAGAGTAGCTGGATAATCACCTGCCCCCTGTGCAGAAAAGCCACTTTTGTGTCAGGAGGTCTCATCCGCACACTTCCAAATAAAGAAGACATCATGGAGCACTTGGAAAACCCTGATTCAAATCCTGAGGTACACATCCCTGCCATAGGGCTGGACAGCAATAGCTGGACTCAGAGCAGCCAAGACACTTTACACAGAGACGAAAATGTTCCGGCAGACAACAGACTGGCTGTCCAGAGACTTGTGCTGCTCCTGCTGCTTGTGGTGATTCTCACTATCCTCATCCTCCCATTTACATCCTCTGGGCTGATCAAATGGGTCGTTTGTCTCGTGCTTACTTTGGGGGTGGTCATGTCTATGGTGCTTTGCTGCACTCCTAAATTCTACTGGAGGTGTAACAGGGACTCGCTCACCTCCTGCCACAAGGTAACCCACATCGCTGCTATTGCCTGAAACAATTAACGTGAGCTGTCTCGAAATAATGGGCTGGTCCTGCCTGCAAAGCTGCATGTTAGGCACGCTAGCCGGTTATTGGACTTTGACAGCAATGATTGACGTAAGAAATTCAACTGGTGGCTCCGTTGGCTCATTAAATTTCATTACGGGAAACATAGTCAAATATTTATATTGTGATATTTATGAAATAAAAATTGTAGGTTTTTTCCACACAATTTTTATCCTAGACTAATAATTCTCGTTTCGCTTTTGTCGGTTGTTCTTGTTCATGTTATCTCCTGATCAGCACTGCAGAACGTTATCTGAAACACCTCACAGATGATGTCCTGTGAAAATCCCGTGGTTGCGTTTTCCCACTCTCTTAACACACATACACTTTTTCTTGTGACACCGTGAGGAAATTAGAGTGCTAAATCAGGGACTGGGTGCGTAGCCTGAATGGAAGAGAGCAGTTTTAACCCAGTTTGTCACTTAAATCCCTACCACTGCCCAAATGGTTGTTGGCAGGGGTGGGAAAGGGACTGGGAAAAGGGGATGCCCATTGATACCATTTTAAGTTACACATGAAATTGGAGAGGAAGAGGCAAAATCAACACTCGTAATCTCAAACCTGTGGGTTGCAAAGAGCAAGGCTCTCAAAAGCTCATGACACTCCAAATTCCCCATGTTACTTCACACAGAAATAGTTCCTCTCACCCGAACTCCTTTATCTGGCTACCTGCACCACCTCTCTTCTTGCCCTCTTCACATGAACTATGACATTGCCCACAGAGATCAACATAAACATGTCAGTTGCTGTGCCATACCACATGGGTATTTTTATATGGAATGTGTCCATTCAGGTTTAATAAAGTTAACTGCTCACTGACTTCTGTGTTTCAATTCCTCACTGACAATGTCCAAACATTTCACAGTTTCCTCATTGACAGGAACTACAGCTGAGAAGGCATATGAGGGAATCTGTACAACTGAGTGAAGCAAAGAAATAATGTGTTGTTTCTTTCCTTTATTTAAAAAAATACTTGGTTGCTAAGAAAACACCCTATAACCCAACTAAAATTAAACGGGAAAAAAAATAAGGAGTTTGCTGTAGTTAAGTTACATTTTTAAGAGTCCCATGGATCTCAGTAGACCTTGGATCAGGCCTGTGGTAAATATTTGTGTTCGATAAGAATGGAAAGTGATGTACTCCAGTTGCTCAGTATATAAATATACATAGTGTCTCACCAGCAGATAAAACAGATTAGACTGAGAGGGTAAGGAGCTGCTGTCCTCCTCGAGACTTGGAAAAAACAGGTCTGTTTTCTGCCTAAGAACACAAACCTTCAAGGGAAGGAAATGCTTTGTTTTTTCTCATCTATTTGGACAGTTAAGTGGCTTATTGCAGAGTACAGATGTAGCAACATTTGCTAATAACCAAACAGAAAAAAAGCTTTTCAACTGGGAAAATGCAGGTAGTTTTAAACCCAAATATTTTAGTGAACTGTATTATTCCAAATACAAGGACTGGACCAGATATTCACCTGTACTGAAAATAATTTCAGAAGCTCTTGCCAAGTCTTTCAGCTCATAGACAGTTTTCCTGTTGAGTTCTCCTCACCAGCACTAGTGGGTGACTGGTACTGTACAGGTTTGTAGCAAATATGCATCAGAGTAAGCTAGAAGGGTTAAAGGAAAATCATCTGCTAATTGCTCCAGAACACTGATCTCATAGAAACCACCAGATAGCAAGGGAGAAACAGACTGTCCCGAAGATAAGATGGCAAAGATGAACTGGACTAGAGCCATAAGATAGTCCCAATTAAAAATCAGGTCATATTCATTCTCTGATTTCAGTTGTTCACACCCATGTGCTGACAAGCCCACATGGGCTAGCCAGGCTCCACTGTGTGCGATACGAAGGACAAGGGACGCTGCCTCTAAAGTCTTCATTATGTCTCTTTACTGATGATGGCAAACCGATACTGGGTTACACATCACCCTGCCCTTCCAAAAGGGTGCGTTCCATTTTATTACACTACAGCGTCCAAAAAACGGCCAACAGAAAAGGGCTTCCTCCACTGCAGTATACCCCAGCAGGAAGGAAGCAGGCATGCTCTGTGATTACCAGTGAGATACTGGCCCTCTGAAAGAACCCCCAGGGATCCATATGGCACAATTACCAGCCGTGGAAGTCCAGGTTTCCACCTCCACTGCTTTGTATCAGCACCTTCCAAGCCTGTGTTCAGCAGTTCAACCAAAATGTTTCTTCAGCCTTTTGAGAGCCACTAACAATCAGCTGATTCAGAGTTCAGGGATGCTGGTGGGAGTCATTAGGCCCTAGAACCTGATATCTTTATAACAGCTGTTGATTCTCATCTGACAAGATAAGGCTCGATGACAATGTAAACCTTTGAAGCAGCAACTAAGTTTATGGGGAAAAGGCCAACAGAGTTGCATTCCTATCCCAAAACGCAAAGGATTTGCTTGTACTCAGTTTTAATTCACGCCAGTCTTTTTCGCAAGAAAGTTTCAGCTCCGAATTACCTTGCCCTGCTTACCTTAGCTAGCTGGCTCCCAGTTTCAGATAGCCATTAGGTAAGACGCTGTAGCCTGAAAGAGAGAGGTTCGTAATGAGAAATGGGCCCAGGAAGTGATGTTCAGCTGCACCAGACAAACTGCGTAAATGTCTGAGAACTGTAATTTACAAAGAGAATCCCATCGAGACGTTAAGAGCACGCTGAGACTCAGCAGCGGTATTTAAGGATTATACTCTCTACAGACAGAATCCCTGACCAGAAACTTCAAAGGGGTTTTGTTTAACAATCCATGTACATAAGCCAGTTGTAATTTAAAAATACACCTATCCTTTTGTCATGCTGTGCTCCCACCCTGCCCCTCCACCCACAGGGCCCTTCCTAAAGTCACAACTTTCCCTTTTCCAGTCCCTTTTCAGGCTTCTTGTCAACAAACAGCACCACCATCGCCCACCACACTCACCAGTTACTTACATAAGAGAGTGAGACAGGTGCCTGAAAAATTTTGAGTGTAGGTGTTCTAAATTATTGTTAAATGTAGAAGTCTCACTTTAAGTACAGAACTTTAAATTATCCATAATTGTGCTGGCTTTGATTATTATTAAAATATATAATAAGATCCCAAGTTTACAACATCTGGTAAAACTCACTCCTAATTGTCATTCTACTCAACTTTTATGTTTTGGACCACTTTTAGCAGCTCTTCTGCATTATCACACAAACAGGCAAAACTAAACATGGAATAAATAACACATTTCACACTTCCACGTGGCTCAGATTCTGTACAAAGAGAACTTCAGGTCCTCAAACACAGAACTGTCAAATCTACAAGAAACTAATTTGCAGATCTTGGTCTGAGAGCACAGATTCCTTGATTCCTTGCTCACTGTGAACCATTTGTTGTTGTGCTGCGCAGTTACCCTGAGTCACAGGTGAAGAAGATACCTTCTGCACCCTAACTGGGATCAACAGAACTCGCCTTCTGACTTCAGCATCACGTAATGACCATAAGATGATGCTTAAAATACTTATACACAACATGAGTACTTATGTGAGTAAACCTGAGGGGGTCTAACATTAGTAGCAAGCAACCAGGACATATTTGTCCAAATCAAAGTCAGCTTTTAAACAGAACTGGTACCCAGATTTTTTAAAAATTTATTTGTAAGTAAGTCCCACATAGCACATTTTAAAGTGTAAATCAGTTACCCCAGCTACCAAGCTTTGCTTTTGTGAAACATGATTGGACAGAAAAACTGCTCTCCCACCCCTGAAAAAAAAAACTAAACAATTTCTCAAAAAATTCATACACATTGGAGTTAAACCACTACAGGGTTCCAGCGTGAGACTGCTCTCAGAGCAAATGCATTTCTTAAACACCCAAAACACAATGCAAAAGCCTTATGCTTGGGTAGCTGAAGTAACTCGAAAGCCTTGGGATTTTTGCAAGGCAAATTAACCACAGCGGAGCAAAACCTCCCAAGCCAACTGTGCCCATAACCCTGCTGATATCAAAAGCAACACACCCATGGCCCTGATATTGGCCTGATGAGTGTATATATATATACACACATGCACATACTTCAGCACCTCTTCATATGGCTTTGGGATCCCACCCAGTAACACGGCATGAACGGTAAGACACCACCAAAGCTTTAATTTTCCTCAGGATAAGCCTCACAGACACCAACCTGTCCTGCATCAGAGGTCACAAAGGAGCCTTGGAGGAGCAACCCGAGAGCAGCTTCACCAGATGCACATCCTTACCTCTCTCTGTAACCCTCCCTCTGAGAGGGAGCTGTTCTCACAGTGGGAGAAGGGCTTTAAAGGCAGCAAAAGCGCCGGCACCCAGGGCGGCCTAAACCCCAAGCGAGGCACCATCGTGGCAGACAAGGCCCAAAAACTGCAGACAAACGCACGCAGCGAGGAAAGAGCAGCTATACCCATCTCGTGATGGAGAGGGACCTACCACCAGTCCCATGAAGGGGCCTTTTTTGAGGGCCGGCCTGGGCCTGTCCGTCCGCCCGCCCTCGCCATCACCTCAGCCCAGCGCCGCTCTCCCGCTCCGCTCCGCAATCTACGCTCCTCGCTACGCCGGTGGCGCAGGAGAGCTCAGC